GGATGCTAAGGATAAGCAATTCAGAAATAAGACAATCCGGTTGGTAAAAGTGATTTGGAAAGGGACAGCTCCGGGAGATGCAACTTGGGAGACTGAGGATCAAATGAGGAAGGAATATCCACAGTTGTTTCCCTAGGTATGTTTATCTCTTTGGTTCATGTATTAGCTTGGATTTTGGGGACAAAATCCTTTTTAAAGGAGGGGAGAATGTAACATCCTAAAAATTTTAAGACTCAAATTTATTAAAAAAAAATAGTCAATCTTTTAACATGTCTAATTTTTAATTCGACCGTTGGATCTTTTTGAAATTTGGTACACTTATATTATCCTTTGAATGTGACGTGTGAGCTTTAAAATCACTTCAATCGGAGGTCAAATGACGGAATGGCGCCTCCTGGAAGTTGGCCCAGGAGGGCTGTCATGACAGCAATAAATTACTGTCATGACAGCATCTTTTTATTCCATTTTTGTCTAACTTACTTCCGTGTGCTATAGGTAGAGCCTATAATTATTTTTAAGGTTTTAAATGATTTATTTCTTAAGTTGGTTAGAGGATCAACCCCTTAACCACACTTAGTTTGTTTGAATTATGTGATTTTTGGATAACACTCGGGGCAAGTGTTACACAAAGTCTATCTTTTTGCGTGTGTAGGGGTATGGGACTTGTAGATAATTGAAGGGTTTCACTACCTATGATGGTTTGAGAATTGAAAGGGAAAAGGAGCGCATAAAATAAGAACAGCCACCCAATGCCTACTCCAACGAGATGGATGTCCTGTGTCCTGTCTGACCCTAAACATATTCGTTCCAATATTCCACGGCCGCACCCTATGGCATCGCTTCCTAGCACTCACATTCACTATCAACATGCGATTATTTAGTTATAGTTTAAATAGTAGCACGCATTATGAATATAAAAAATTATAAAAAATTAATATTAAATTAGGACCATTCAAGTTAAATTTGAACTATACATATTGATAATAAACCATTATACAGAAAATTTATTAAAATTTTTATAATTTTTATTTGAATAAATTTAAAATAAAAATAAAAATAAAAACTTTAAATCTGAAAAATCCAGATTTCATAAGGGTGATGAGTTTTATTATTCTCATCCCCTTGACGAGCATTGAAACTTGATCCATACGTCTAACTATAGATATTTCACATAAATATCTAACAGCTGATGAGAGACATTTTTTTTGCAGGCTAAGTTATATATTACTCTCCTCAACTTTGAACCACATATGCATAACTTCCTTAACTTTTAAAAGTTTACAATAAGCTCTCCTCAATTCTTATATTTATATAGATAACTTTATATGATTAATTTTATACATTAATTATTTATACATAACTTAAAATTTTAAAGTTTGCAGGTTATCCGCATATCAATGAAAGTTTAGGGTTTAAACGTATGCAAAAATAAAGTTTAAAGGAATATATAATTAATGGCTAAAGGTTATTTATATAAACTTGAAAGTTCAAGAAAAAATTTATTATTAAGTTTTAAAAGTTAAAGAGATTATTTATATATAGTTCAAAAGTTAGAAAAGTTGTGTGTAATTTAACTTTTTTTTATTTATTTATCGGTTCTCACTTCAATCTCTGAATTTTTATTGTTTTTAAAATATACGTAGGACTATTATATAATAACATCAGCACTAAATTATATCATTAATTAATAAATGATGTGATTTATAAATTCAATAACTGTTTAAAGGAAAAATATAAAAACTTGACCCAATCAAATCAATGCATACATGAATTAAAAGCTAATACTTCCTTTGTTTAAAAATATAAGACATTTTTTTAAAAGTTGAATGTTAGAAAATGTAAGACATTTTTAATCTTTTGAAGTGTAATTATTACCTTTTTATCAAAAGTACCCTTATTGATATTTATTGTACAGTGTTTAGTGAGGATAAATATAAAAAGATAAGGTTAGTTTGAAAGTAGGTAACTACTTTATTGGAGGGTGAGATTCAGTTAAAAATGCCTTACATTTTTTAATGGAACGAGTATTAATATGTATATATAAATGCCACGCACCCTGACTAATAAAAAAATTTAAATGAAATTAATTAATAATTATATTATCTTTTCATTGCATTTAATTTCTCTTTTTTTCCATCGAACCGTTATTAAGAAGAATATGAATGATATGAAATCATTGGGATATGTAATAATGAATAATCTCTCAACCTACATAAATTTGTAAAGTCGGCAATACGACAAATAAGATTTGATTCATTTTTTCATATATTATATTAAAATAAATCATATTATTGATCACTCATGACATTTTTATATTCGATGATTGATTTTTAAGGTATTATACTATTTATTTATCTAGTGACCATGTTTTCATAAAAAGATGTCTGAACAAAGTGCGTTTAATATAATTTTATAGCGACTATATTGATTGTTGACATGTTGCCAGTTACATATATATTTTTATGTGTCATTGTATTTATATCTCTTCAATAAAATAATAGTTACAATATTATTGAAGTTCAAAATAATCAAACTATTTTTTCAAGTGATATTGATTTCCAAACAGGAAACAATTTAATTTATTTTCAATTTCAAGAATAGAAAACATAATATCAATGATAGATGCAATATATATAGATAGTAAATGAAAATAAGTTTTGAGTATTTAAATAAAAGTAGTCAAGTTTGTGGGAATGCACAACAAAAACATTCTTTGGGGGGGGGGGGGAAGCACTTGAGATGAAACAATAGGTGTTTTGTACTTCAGAGTTCAGCCCCAATTTCACCCTGTGATTTACATTTTGTTAATTTTATTTTGTCTCCTTCTCCTTGACAAATAGTAAGGCACAGCAAGTTATAAAGAGATGGTTTCAGTGAGGGAGGGACCAAAGGATTGATGTGAATCGTAAGAAGCAAAGTAATCAAACATAGCTATGGGCAGGCAGGTGTTTATAATTTATGAATTGAAGATGAAAGATCACATGATGTGCTCACCAAATGCATTTATCATGAAGCATGGAAAGCAGAATATTCTGGGAGTGACAGATGCCGGGAAGGGCCCACCTTTTAAACTATACTCGTGCGTAGTAAACGACAAAATCATTGGACAGATTAGACTAGATAGATAGAATCCATATAGCTCTCGGCTTGAGTGTGTCAGGCTCCTTTGTGTTGTATTCGGCTATTTGCCCAGTTGATAGTTCACTTGTCCACAAGGTTATTCTCCTTGTATAAAAATATATCAACCTAAACACTGGACGCCTTTATTCAACAGTCTTTAGTTGGATGGAATGGAAGGGAGAGAAAAGAAAAGATAAATTTTATAAAAAGCATGACAAGGGATTTTTTTTGTCCTTTCTTTTTTTTCAAGCCCCCTTCCTGACTGGGATTTTACTTTCTGCGCTCTACGATAGAAACAGAGGCCACTCGTGGCTGGCTATGACTATTTGCCTTTTCCCAAGGGTTGTTCTGTTTCCACAATAATTCTAATCTCGCATTCCTGAATGTGCCTGCAACTATATTACGTTAACGTCCTTTACTCACAAAAGCAACCAAATCCAGTATTATCTTCCTGGTTATGGATGCTAGTATGGTGAAAATAATTCATTACAGTAACATTATTCGGAAGAGATGAGCAAGGTGAGGAGGCATATGGGGAATCAGGAAGCTTCCAGTTGATTGGATAGAGGCCAGGCAAGGCGTATCATTAATGATCGCAATTTGCGAGCAAGCAAGGAAGGAGGTGGTCATAGCCAGCAACTGCGAATGAGATCCAATATGCCCGCCCTGCCCATATCCTTTGTTTGCTGGATCTCCAACACACAACCCATTCTTCTCTGGAACGATGCTCCTTTGTAGGGGACCTTACCGTTCTTTACGCCTATAAAGCATGCATCACTTAAAGCATCTTCAATTCTTGGAACCTTGGTCCGAATATTCGCCATTGTCTTCCACTGGTTTATTTAATATTCTAGTATGATATAGAAAACCACCGACAGAAAAAAAATCCCATATTAAAATTCGTTTGAATACAAAAAATATTACTTCATTTTTCTTTGGCAAGTGGACGCAATTGAAAGAAATCACTTTAAAATAGGAAAAAGAAAAAATATATATTGTTGCACTTCCTTTACTGGTTCCTTTCAGTCTGTTGAAGAGATCTTCATCGACCTGGGTTAATGTGAACTTAAAAGGTTCGTGACTGCCTCATTTTTTTCCCCCTAAATGAAAGGGCGAGAAGCCCTCTCGAATGAAGGGAGAATACCGAGCAAACTAGGCTCTTTGATTATCGAATCGAATCCACACCCTCAATTTCGGGGATAAGCAAAACCCGAAAGTAGAAAATCAATTCTGTGAACTCGCTTGGCCAGCTAATTTGCGAATTCTAGTTTCATAACTCATTCAACTCTTCATAGTCACGTGTGACTGTTACATTCCAGTCATGAGCCAGCATCTCTGTCATGTCTTCAAATTGTACAGAGGATGCCTCATTCTATTACATTGGTCCGAGGAAAAGGTATGATTTTGTTCCGCACGCCGCAAGACAAGTGAACTGTGCTGGCCCGAAAAAAGAAAAGAAAGGTAAATCTGGGTATGCCTAAGAATTACTTGAACACCAATAAGTTATAATTTAATCAATCAATACCAAGATATTTGAATTTTAAGCCGATATAATTTTTAATATATTGATTTTTAATAGTGGATACAATATGTCAACTCATTAGGGTAGGGAGCCCGAAACAAAACTGACCCGATATAACAGATAAACAGCGAATTCTACAGCCTAATGACTTTCTAAAACTTTTTAACATATACTGGATTGTGTCACAATTCGGTAGTCAACTAAAGAAGCAAGCATATATTCAATGATTTATTCAGATATCAACACATGGGTTTCAATATGTCCATTTATATGTTTTGTCACCTTTAGTTGTCAGCTCGGGAAGAGGAGCACGCATTTACTTAGCCTATAGCTCAATTGCATCATGACGAGATGGGGATTCAGCATCGGTAAAATGAAAACTGGTACGCAGAAAATCTCGGGTTGGGCTATATTTGCCACATTACATAAAATTTTGGCCTAGCAATTTGTGGAAGAATGCGCCTAGACACAGAAGTCCTTTCCAGGGGAACGTAACTTTGTTAGAAGCCTTGACATACAACAGCCGAATCACACCTTACCAAAATCAGAAAGTGCAGTTAAAATAAGCACTTTCTATGCTTGTGACATCTCTTGCTGCCATTTACAATTTGGCACTACAGAGTTTGGTTATTTTCGGTATTACCATCACTATCCAGGTACTGCTTCACCTGATTTTGATTTGTCTCGAATATGAATGGCACACCCCTTATCTGCAAAATTAATCATTTACATATACAACTCAGACTTGTAGAAATGTCTAGCAACTAAATGAAGCCTCAGGAGCATACCTCGATTAGACAACTGGAACTAAGTTGTTGAGACTGACCAAGATGCACTTCTTTGTTATTTACCAAGATCGAACTCTTGCCAAGGTTTTTAAGGTAGAAAGATCCAATTTTATCCATTTTTATAATTGCCTGCAAGATTAGCAAGGTAGAACATAATTAAAAATTCTGAAGCCTTTTCATTTTTTCCTTTAACGCAGCAAAGACAACAGCTAGCCTGCCGTTTTTCCCAGTCGATTTTTCTTTTTTTTTTTTGGGGGGGGTGTGGGGGGTGGGGCTGTGTTCCAGTGTTTTGCCTTCATAAGATGACCAGGACATTTTAAGCAGAAAGACCATTACAAGTGCACATGATCCACGAGAGACAAGATTTTGTCCCCACAATCAGTCTGTTCATGATATAACAAAGGCTGCAAATTACAATGGAAAATGAAGCTACCTTCTGATATAGGAGCAAATAAAGCCAACATTAACGATACAATCGGTATGCAATAATATCAGATAACATGGTATCTTGCATGCTAAGGTATGAAATGCCATAGAATAAGACTACAAGAAGTCAAGAAGCGATGGTGGATAGATATCCAAATTTGATAAGATAATAAATGGTATCCCGCATCTCAGAACTGGAAGATATCAATGTTTGGTTGCCCCTGTCACTCTATGTGTGTTCCAGACTTAAAGTGCATCTTATAAAATTATACTCTCTCCGTTCAAAAATGTAAGGCATTTTTTGAGAGGTTGAATGTTAAAAAATGTGAGGCATTTTCAAGATTTTAAGGTATAATCATTACCTTTTTTCTAAAAGTGTCCCTATTAAACAAATACTTTATATTTATTTTAGGGTAAAACACCCTATTAAATAGGAGTAAATGTAAAAAGATAAGGTTAATTTAAAGACAAGTGACTACTTTATTGGGGGGTGAGATTCAATTAAAAATATTTTACATTTTTGAACGGAGGGAGTATGATTTTTACAAATTGCAGGTAGAAATGTAATTAAAAAATAAACTAAAAAAGAGCTAATTTATATGTAATTTATTTCCTCTTATCCATATAAAAAATAAAATATAATGTATTTTTCCGAAATTTGTTTTATATTTTAAACACTACGGTAATTTTTAACATAACTTTTTTCTGGGGTAAAAATCAATAACTCCACTTATGTGGGATGACAGAACATTTTACTGGGACACGACACCAACTCTGGACCAGAAGTTTTGCTAATTAGTAGTGCGGTTTCAACATTGGCAATTAACCCATATTAAATGTAGCAATAGCTGAATGGCTAAAATCCAGTATAAATTCAAGAAAATAACCAACGAAGCATTTCCTAAAGGGTGTAATAGTTATTAGTGCATCATAAATAATTTGCCAGCACAATCTTGTCAAGCATATACAGTAAGATGAAAGTAATGCATGCCTTACTTCCCAGAATATATGAAGGTGCAGCAAAATACTTGCTGCCACATGAAGATACAAGTCAAAGCTGGTAAATATACTAACCTGTCGTCGAGATATTTTGTTAGCATTCACTCCTTTGCCTAAGTCAATGTCAACAAGGACATCTTCTGTTGCCCGACCAAGTATAACCTGCACAAAAAGTTAGCCATCATCAACAGAATTGTCCAACAGTTGAATCTATTTTGCAGAGTCAATTTCAGTTGGATGATACTATAATGTCAGACAGAATGCTCATACTTCCAAATTTTCTCAAAACAAAAAGTCCCACACACACAAATCAAGTGTACAAGTTACTCCAGGCTCGGAGCTTCACATATAACAACAGTGTATGTCAATATGGGTACTTTTTTAAGCACATTTGCTTGCGATTGTAAAACAAACCTATCATATTATGACCTTATAGAATCTTTGACCTTCATCACGATGCACTTCATAATTTAAATCACATCACTACCTAAAGTCAGAAACACAATCCAAATAAAATATCCAATTAAGAAAAACAAAGCACAAACTTGCTACACATCGAAAAGTCAACAAGAAATCGTAAGATCCTTTCAGGTCGTAAGTAGGTCATGCAGAGTTCCAGTGTTCAAATACCTCAGGTTTCCTTATATAATGCTTTGAATGGCGACCATATAGAATAGCAAGAGCCCCGTGTGAGGCAATTGTTCTTTGCATATAGGAATCGGCACTCTGTTCCAGCCTTATAATAGTTCGCTTAGCACCCTCGTGTTGATATTTCAATACTAAATAGTAGACAAAATATATTGTTATGATACATTGGTCATAAAAGAAACAATAAGAAATTATGCACGTTCACTTTAAACACAAAGTTGAATATGACACTCACCTTACAAAAACCATTGGAAGTGTGGAATAAAAAACATGGCGAAGGGAAATTGGAGATGTACTCTAGATGTACAATAGTTTAGCATTTTATTAAATTTATTATGCGTTTTAGTAATTGTATTTAATTTAATTAGATTTTATTTTATTTAATATAGGATTACATTATTTTATTAATATTGCATTGAATAGCCCAGGGTTATTTCGATGCGAGGCTATTGCTTATTTGCTCATTGAATCATTATTGAGACTTCTTGATGTCACGCAACTCTCTTCCCCCTCTATCTCTCCTTTGTTCTTCCTGTTTCTCCTTCTCCCTCCCCCTCTTCCCCTTGCCCTACATCACATTGGTAACATATATAGCATTCGATACTGAATGCCATTACTGGATTTTAGCTGTCTTCAGTATGAAGAATCTGATAACACCAAAATAGAACTCAAGAATTAAAGAAGCATCTTCAATAACCTTATGCCAATCCAGTCAAACACACAAACAGAATCTACAAAAACTTTGGAACCTATTCCATGAAATACAGATATTTAGCAGCTGAAGAGTAGAATTACACAAAACTATAATAATAATAACAATAAAAAGAAACAAACAAACAAAAGGAATACTAGTCCACAAGAACGTTGGTAAAAGCCTATCAAATGTTAACTTTACACTACAGAATGCCCAATTAAGAGTGTGAATTGAGTCCTTAAGCACCCCCCTCCCGTGCCATGAGGCAGCTTCTTAAAAGCATAGAATGTTATTCAGCACGTCATCAGTCACATTAGATTCCATTCTTAAGAAAAACATGACACCAAACAACAAAGATCAAGCAACAATAATCATAAGGCTATATCTGAGCACTACCTTCCTCACAATAATGCAAATCCTGGTCATCAGGATCCAAGTCCATATCAAGTATCTGTGGAAGGAACAGAATAAGTCAGAATTAACAACAAATCAAAAAAGGTAAAACAAATAGTCAATTGAAATGATGGCATTACATGCCTTACCATTGCTTCTATGTCAGAATAATAAGGAACGTCATCATCACTCTCTATATATTGCTCTTCTTGATCTAATGTTGGAGGATTTGCCACCAGCTCAGACTCAGCAACAACTGAGGATCTCATTTCAGGATGTGGCAAACGTTGATCTTGAACAGGCATAGCTAAATCGTGTTCCATTGTCTTGCCAGGGGCATTAGAGTGAGGATAATTTCTAAAGCTATCAGAAAAATGAGATGCTTTCTCATTTAAAGTATTTGCTAAATCATTATGTAAATGCACTGTTAAGCCAACATCGACAGCCTCTTTCTTTGAATCTGCATTGATGTTTGCACTGATTGAACGAATTGCAACTAAGCCACCAGATTCCATAACTGCACTCCTGGACACCGGGAGGGAGGTATGACTATTGGACAACTCACATTTTACCTTAGAACCAGCACCAGCACCAGCACCAGCACCAGGCAAGGGAGGAGATCCCACTATGTGAGAAGACACATGAGATTCTCCATGGGTTTTTAGTTCGACTTGCTTCAGAGTTCTATCTCCAGTTCTGTGGCTATGTCCAAAATCCTCAACCAACAATGAACTTGATTTATTGGATTCTCTTAAAGACTGTTTGAATGAGGTGGGGGCAGTTAAAGGGGGCACGTCAAAAGGTAGGAAAACATCCTCATTAGATGGAATTTCTGGGTCCTCAGTACTGAATGCACAGCAAATGACTCCATTAGTTAATTCAGGAAATCGAGGGTCTTTAGCTAAGGCATAAGATGGAATTTGAACATCTGATTTGGAAGTTACTTTTAAATCACTAGAGCTCAACACCATTTTGTCATCTACCTCCACATGACATGAAACAGATGGATTTTTAACCAGTGAATGTGAAGCCACGGACGTCTCTGTTTCAGTTATGGTAGATACCTGATCTAGGCTGACATCATCTGGTGAATTTAAGAGAAGTGAACTTAGACCATCATAATAAGACTTATCAAACCCACCTTTTCCATCAACGTCCATCAAATAGAGTTCTTCCTCGTTAGTGAAGTTCAAAAGAGAATCAGACAGTTCTGCTAAATAAGACTCCCCAGAAGCAATTGAATTTTTAAGGGCATTGCTCGGCACATTAGGCTGTTGGATGCCCTCACCTGCTCTCCACATTGACAATTCAGGAACTGAAGATAACTGTGAGGTACTAAATGATGTTCCACACTCTAAATCAGGTGAATTAAAGACATGATTTCCATCAAAATCAGAACACAAATTTCCAGGGTCACTGTTAATCAGATCAAATGTTGATAAAGGCAGTGATACCAAACTATCATCTCCCATAAGGCTATTTACAGGCAATTCTTTTGGACCACCAAATTCCTCAACACCTCCATTAAAAGACATACTGTCTCCAAGGACTTGAGGTTCATCTTTAAGTATATTTTTTTCTTCAATAGGGAAGTTCTCTTCAACAGGGTTGTCAACACCACTGTAAAAGGTATGGGCAGTAACTCCACTAGTCGCAAGATTACCATCCATAATATTTTCAGGAAAAGCACAATGTACATGATCATAATTTGATCCTTGGAATCCAAAATGATTTGGGGCAACATCAGGCAAGCAATTTTCAGACAAAGGCTCAACTCCTATCATGGCATCATTGTCATGTTCGGGCCTCATGGGAAAACTTAAGTTCATGGAATTAATTGCATCATTCAATATTCTTTTACGCATGGCATAGTAAGAATTACGAACACTTTCAGCTTTTCTCTTAACAGGAGCAAACTTTCTTTCTTTTGAATGCCCAAATTTACTGAGTTTTGATGGGAGAGACAAAGCAGAAAGCTCAACATTATTCATGCATGCAGATGCTTCTTCAGAAATAATCGGATCATAGAGTAGAGAATACCAACGGTCTTGTATTTCTCTGATGGTAAATCTCCGTGAAAACTGCACTGCACCTTTTGCAAGGGACTCTAAGGAAGCACCAGCCTGCAAACAGGAAACTGTAGATTAACCCAAGCAGGAAACCAGGAACAGGAGTCTCTACTATGGTCCTTTCCTGAATTTGGCAACAATAGGAAAATCCCCTGCCTCTCACCCCCAAATTGAAGCATACAACAAAATGAAAAGAAGGGGAATCAAGAAATCTCTCTAATATCGATAGCAGTTAGCTACAAACTACTTTGGGGAAATTCACCAACTTGCCTTCAAGTAAGTGCGACACAATATTATATGAAAAGAAGAAAGCAAGACATAGATTTATTCAATTCACATATACTGCCTAGCAAATAAATACTTCAATGTAGAGGTTTGCACAGCATTTCCTTAGACATCAATATTCACAATCCTACACAATTCATGCTCATTTGCCATTATATTCAGGAAGTGACGAGCTAGCGGAGGAATAAAAAATGAGGTCAGTTAAGGTTCTCCGTGATAACTTGCCCCAGTGGTGAACAATAACTCCCCTTCTTCAGGTTATAAATGGATAGTGAAACAAATAACTAATCGTCCTGTTCCAAAATCCCGAGCAGACACACTAAAAGCAATACTATAGACATTATGTACCCTGAGCCACAGTGAGTAAAACATTTATTGTAAGTTTCCGGGTTTCAAAATAATCGTGCCTATAAAACTGAAAGGTATTTTCTATCCGTGCCCGACATGACAGAAACTGGCACTAGATTCTCGAACTATCAGAAGCACGGGAAACGAGAAATGACACAATGAAGGAGTAACTGCAAAATGTAGAAGATGGAAGAAAGAACGAGCGGGTTCAATTGGACTTCCAGAAAAGGGAGGGAAATGGATAGCAACGGTAGAAAAACTCTTACCTCCACAGCATTTTTCAGCAAAAGATCATCTTCGGGGGTCCAGGAGGCGACTGTAGCTAGAGCTACCATCCTTGAAACGCACCAAGACCGCCTTCGTCTTTGGGTATCACTTTGTCGAGAAAGAGCGCGCTAGTTTTTCATGAAGGGATGCTGGGAAGTGGGAAGGGTTGAAGGAAGGGTTTTAGCCCTTTAGATGTGGGAAAGGGAAAATAAAATAAAATGAAATCAGATGAAATTCAAGGATTCGGGTGACCACGGAATTCATGAAAATTCTATGCAATCCATCTCATGCTATGTCGAGTGGCGAAATCTCAGCCAGTGCAACAAATTTAGGATGTATCGTGATCGTCAGGCGATCCCTTAACACTGTTTATTTTTTCAAGTGAATAACAAATTTAGAATGTAAATTTTTTGTACTGAAAATTAAAATTGCATCATCAATCAACCCCTTATTTTTCATTTTTTTTTTATTTTGTCATGAAAATATTTTCTAGTTAAAGCCCTTCTATTTTGCAAATAATTTATCGAAGCACAGTTAAACTCTTTTCTCATTCGTAGCATTGTTAGATGGATTATATTGACTAACTAAATTGACAGTCATGACATTGAGAAAGCATTCACCAACTTAAACACATCAAATTTTAGTCAACTCGTTAATATTATTATCTACTATTCACTAATCCTGCGTTTATTTAAAAGGTCTATATCGCATTTGGCCAGCAGAAAAAGTAATTTGGATTGCAACAAAGTTAAACAGCATTTTTCTCAATGAAATATAAAATAAAATGAAATATCGAATGCTTCATTGGAATCTAAATGTGGCAACTATTTTGAAAAATTATAACAACAATAACAATAAATCTTATTAATCTCACTCAAGATTAAAAAAATCTTATTTATCTCATTAACTTCAGAAATTATAAAAAATTACAGTAATAATAACAATAAATCCAAACCATCTTACTAAGTGATACTCATTCCGTTAAAAAATGTAAGACATTTTTAATCAAATTTCATCATTCAATAAAGTAATTACCTATTTTCAAATTAACCATATATTTTCATATTTACTTCTATTAAACATCTTATAATAAATATAAAATCATATATCAATAGAGACACTTTTAAAAAAAATAATGATAATATATTGAAAGATTAAAAATATCTTACATTTTTAAATTTTTAATTTTTAAAAAATACTTTATATTTCATAACAGAGTATGAATGTAAAATCAACGTTAGATCCTGTTCCAGGCAGAAGGCCGCGTCATTGCATGGGCCACCGGGAAGCAGTAAGTTGGGAACATCGCAGCGTGAACTCGGAGAAGTTTGGACTCTTTGCACATGGGTTCGCACATCGCTTGCACATACTATTAATCAGGGAACTGCTAACTGGGTTTCCAGCCCAGCCTAAGATAGCAGGTTGCCCATTAAGTCTAGAGCCCGTTAATCGAGTCCATTGGACTTTAATCCTCGGTCCGTTGTGCGTTTTTGTACGGGGATCCCATTTGAATTGACTAGAAGGTTTATTCAATTCCGTTTGTGACTTTTTCCATAATAGTTAAAAAATATTTTTAAAATTATCTTTCATTAAAAAAATAAAAAATAATATAACATCACTTTTTAGAATTATTATATAGAGACATATTTAAAATTGTACACATTTATATTTATTATATTTTTTTTACATTGATATTGATGGAAATGATTTAAAAAATAATGGGAGGAGTATGGGTTTTTTATTTGTCATTTGATGATTCTTATCCCAAAAATACAAATTGTCATTTGATGATCTGAAATGTTCGCCGATACAGCCCCAAGTTTAGTAATTGATTATTTTTATTACAAGTGGCATTCTGACATTTCTGTTCTCACCAGTCCTTTTCTGTTTTTATAATATTTTTTTATAAATTATTTTTACTAACCTTATCAATATTAATATAAAAAAATATATAAAATTTTAAATATATTTTATATAATAAATTTTAAAAATAATAATATGTTACTTTTTTGTAAGAATTAATTTTAAAAATATATGTAAATATTATTTAAAATGATGTACTGTAATTTATAAATAAAATTAAATAAATATTTTAAAATATGTGATTTATAAATAAAATTAAATAAATATTTTAAAATATGTCTTATAAATTAAAAAAATATTATAATATCTACTGATGTGCATCGAGGTCCGAGGTCCGGTTTTTCTCCCGAATCCATCAACGTCGGATTAGTGAAAGCTGCTATAAATTAAAGGAAAACAGTGGACGTGAAAACTGCAAACCAATAGCTAAGCTAGGTGTTAGAGTGAAGCTATCGTTTGAAGATATTTTCTACTATCGGTGACGTTTCCAGAATTCTCTCTCCATTAGTTCTCCTGGTTTTTTTTTTTAATAATTCTAAACTTAGCTCTCAAAAGGTCAAATGAATACATGCGTGACGCACCAACCTTGCCTGTGTAATATACTTAATCTTAAAACTTGACTTCTAAAGTTTTTTTTAGTCCTCATTTGTTTTTTCGGTTTAAATATCGTCTTGATTTTTTTAAAAAGGAAAAAATCTCGATATGAAGTTGAATGTTTTTTTTTCTGCAGCCATTTTTGTTTGGACATGCACAGCGGACAAAATTTGAGAGCGACACGTGTTGTCCCCTGCGGTTAAGCTCTATTAAAAAAAAACAATAAGAAAAGCCGGAGTTTATCTGCATTCCGAGTAAAAGTCATGGAAAGCTCTACCTAATCCCTTTGATTTTGACGTACCTAATTTTATTTAGGTTTCTCCGTGATAAATTTAATCCGAAAAGAGATTAACTCACGATGCTCTGTGATTTGTACATCAATTCAAATGAATAATCAACGCTGAGCCCTGTTTGTCCTGTTTTCATGGTTATTTGTTAGTCCCCGTGCAATTCGCTATTATTTATTATCCAATTCGCCATTAAACAATTAATTCTGGGTTGTATCCAATTACGACTTTGATATTTTAATCCGAAACCGATGGAGCTTTCAGTGCCTGCAAACGTTTTCATCAGCCAGGATTTATAAACTAATAAGAATAAGAATGACCTTCCGAGATGTAGAGTTGCTTGATCTGATAAAGGAAAGGCGATTAGATACGAAAAAGATATCGCAAATATAAATTCATGGGGACAAATTAGGCAAAGGCCCACTTAGTTTCGCGCACATGACTTTGCGCTCAAATTATAAATTTAAAAATTTTAATTTAACTCAACTTAATTAATTTTAAAATTATTAAAAATAAATATTCATAAACCTTTATTATTAAATCAAGATTGAGTTTAGATCATCATTCTCACACTCCACTTATCATGCTTGAATTATGAAAATATATCATGCTTGAATTATGAAAATAAAAAGAGTGATTATAATAAAAGAAGTGCTTCATAAATTTAAAAAAAAATAGCGATTCCAAGGCTTAGGTATTAAGTTAGAATCATTTATAAATAGAGAAACTTTTTTAAAAAAAAATCACTATTATCATTAATAAATTATCAATCAAATTTTTAAATTTCATGTCTATTGCTTTCCCCTTTTATCTTATATTTTTAATTTTTACTTTGCTGTTGTACGACTAACATAACTCATCATTTTTTTCAATTAATGTATCTTTATTTTTTATAATTACATTAATTTTTTTACTTCACATTTTCTCGTTCAAAAGAACTATGATAAGAGAGCTTGAGGGTTGTTTGAAATTATTTTTATTTTATTATTTTGAGATCTGTTGTTTTGTAAAATATATTTCGAAATAAAAAAATAATAAAAATAGGTGTTTTTTCATTCTTCTTTGTTCTCCAAAATAATAATCACATAACACCTAAAATTTATTTTTATTTTTTATTCTTCAAAATAATATTTTATTTTTTTTATTTTTTAAAACACTTTTTAAAAATATATTATTAAATAATTTTTTTTATTTTAAAGGATAGAAAACTGTTTTCATAATAAATTTTCAAAAACAGACTTTAAGTTTTTCACGATTTTAGAGGTCGGGTTTTTTTATTTTTTTTTTTGAGAACCCCCCCCCCCCATTGTGTGTATGTGTGTGTGTGTGTTTTTTTTTTTTTTTCGCCGGATAACATGAAATTTGTATCGCAGACTTTGGCACAGGGAAAGACTTCGACTTACGCTGACGCCATTGTGAACACGATTTCAATTTCCACGTGTGGCTGCTCTCTGACGATTGCAGGTTGCAGCAGATTTATACAAATAAATAACACACACACACTTATACAATAAAACAAAGGAAAAAAAAATAAACAGCCGTGACAGAGGGGAAGAAAATAAAGGGGCTTTCGCAATTGCATTGCAGGAGGTAAAAGGGAGAATGACAAGGGCTTTAGCAAAAGATTAAAGTCAAATTATTTTTTTAACATTAAAACTCTTAAATCCAATACTCTTTTTTCTTTATTTCAATATTAAAATTCTTAACTTGACATTAATTTTCTTACAACATCTTTACTTGTAATTCCTTCGCGCGTGTGATAGGAACGTTTGAATATTTAAAAGTTTATTCTCATGAGCGAAAACTCCTGATCTTGAACCTTGATCGGAAACAAACGAATAAAAAGGTACCGCAAAAGGTTCCAATATAATTAGTTGGCTATGAAAGGTTAAAAAACTGGACAAGTTGGTTCAATCAATCTAATTATTAAACCATGAACCATTTACCATTCTAACTAGTTTAACGACGGGTAGTTAAAATTAAATTTAAGGGTTCTAAAGTTAAGATTCGTAAATTTATATGAATTTTTTTATTATTATTTTCGCTGGTTTCATTATTTTTTTTACAAAAACATAAATTTTTCTTCCTCTCTCTTTAAACAGATAAATTCTATGAAATTCATGAATTCTCATTTTTAAAAAATTTAAATTTAATGAGATTGACTCCATTCAATTCAAATTATAAGTAACTTTTAACTATAATCCATGTATAAATGAAATTTAATTATATCTATAGTTTTCTCTTTGTAAAATTAGTCCCAGCCACGAGTGATGACTTAAATCAAAGAGAATATTTATGTGAGAAAGTCAGAATAACATGAAAATTGGCCAATAAATTAAGAAGGAGGTGATAAACTGCGATGCCACATAATGAACTAGGTTAATAAATGTAAAGGTAAAATGAGAAAGACAGTTTTTATAAATATTAAACTGTTTATATTTTAAATCAATATTAGCTGGTGGAAAAACTTATATTTCGAATGAGAAGGAGCACATAAAATATTTTCTAAATCAATCAAGTCAAGCACACTATTTTGCGCCTTCCAATGGAACATAGTTAATGTACTCGAAGGATTCGAGACATTTAAGTTAGATTTATCGGATATGAGTAATGTCAAAGAATGAATATCAAAATAGCAAAATATATAAAGATAACTTTTTTTTTTTTGCGAATGATTATACATTGATATTTAGTTATAAAATAGCAAAATATATTACGGAAAGGTTGCAAATTCGTACCTGGCATCCATACGCCACTTTCGTTTCTACGCATATATAAAGATAACTTGTCGGTTTAAAAAAAAAAAAAGAAAAAAGGAAAAAAGATGACTTGGAGGTTGTAGCTGTATTGATATAATAATCATATTATAGGCAGTGCTTTCGTATGGGGTTTGATTAGAGACGAGACATACACCAGGGCGGAGTCAAAATTTAAAAGCAAAGAGAGCCAAAATTAAAATATATATATATATATATACTGTAATGTTTTCCTAAATTTAAGAGGAGTCAAAAATATTTAACACTTATATAATATAAAAAAAATTAAAAATGCTAGTCCCTTCTCTTTCCGCCACTGTACTGTTGATTAAAAAAAAAAAGAAGACAGGAGAGATGAGCCATGAGATATACCGTGTATCAATTTCTATATGTATATTTTTACAGTGGATCAATTATGAACAGTACATCTCATAAATTTTATAAATTATTTTTATATATAGCTGGTAAAAAATAAAAAAAAACAGAGAGGTGAGGTATACTGGGGTTCATTAACAAACGATAAATCTCATACAGCCGTTCAACGTAAACTACTATAGCATTATACTAAGTACGGTCCAGCTAAGAGTAACCTTTTAAATGATTTTTTTATCCATAAAAACATATCACAATCCTCGATCTTCCATGCCATGTTGCTGTATCTAGATTTACTTTCTTTCACACAAGTTATATCTATATATATATATATATATATATTGCTAGCAAACAGCATTAATCAAATATTGTTAATTAAAATAACTGAAATATAACTATAATCCACTCATAGAGACATACAAGTGGCGCAAATTAAAATGGCCAATTGACTTATTATCTCTCTCCTCAACAACAAATTTGTTTATAACAATTGTTGGAAATATAGAAAAGGCGTTAATTACCTGTTTAGATAAATTTTATCCAAAAGGGACCACTGATTCGTCACCATGGATAAGGAGGAAGATGATCAATTTCAATGACTAGATTATGGGCACCATACTTCACAAAATATTTGAAATAAAATTAATTATATACTTTCTGTGAAGCTTGTAGCTTTTTGTTTAATTCGTGACATATAATTTTTGATGAAACTTTTAGTTGCTTAACTTTTTTTTAATTATTGATTTGGTTTTTTAAGCTTAATTTTTATGAATTTGGCTCCATATCTTTTTTAAAATTATCATGTTAGTCATTTAAGTTTTAAAACAAAATTTATTCTTAAATTAATCTAATGTATAAAATATAATATTTTAATAACTTAACATGCATATGTAGTTATTAAAAAAAATTAGACACTGAATTAGTTTAATTTTTATTTACACACTCCTTTAAACCATGTTTTTTTAATTTCTTAATTTTATTTTTTTCTACCCGAATTGTTACACTTCTTTTAATTAATCTAAATAATTATCATTAATATTCTTTTTTTTTGTATCAACAGATTTTAATTTTTAACAACTAGCTTTCACACCTTGCAATGCGCGGGAAAATTAAGACAAAGATATTAAAAAGTAATAGAAGATTAATATTAAAGGTGATAATTATAGTATAAAAATAGTATTTATAAGGCATAAAATATAATTGTCCCGATGAACATAAATTTTTAAATATAACCTATCATTCCAAATTTTGATTCCTAGAGATGTGTGTGGAGCTCATCGCTTGGGAGATGATAGGCAATTAAACAATGCTCGAATTCCTTCGATGCTGCTATGGCAACTCTACATTTTCAAATGATTTTTAGGCTTTAAGATCATTCTTTTAATCTCAACTTTCCCAACACAATTGAAGATGTTTTGTACATGGTTGTAAATAATCATGTTTTGTACATGATATCCCTATTTTTTTTATTTTTTGTGCATTGAGGATTATTTTAGTGAGTAGATAATAGAAATAAATAACAATGTTTATATAAATAAATTTTTTTAATACACCAAATGCATCTTAGAACAACATTGTTCCAAGTTGAACATTAAACCAACATAAATAGTAATAAAAACGTATCAATGTCCAAAAAATAATAAGATATATTTTAAGTTTATTTCAAAATATACTCTTATAAAATTTTCTTTTTATAGTAATTTTTTAAAGGACGAGTGCTCACCCAACCGCTTTTACAAGATGAGTATGAAGATTTTATCTTCTATTCAAATCATAAAAAAGACTGACCAGATATTTGAGACAAATTTTAAAAGTCAAATTGATAAAAATTAAATTTGAGAGGTAAAATTGATAACTAAAGTAAATTTAAAAGATTAAAAGTTTTATTATTCCTAATTTTTATTATTGAATGAAAGGATATATTCTGTCCAGAGTGCTTAGCAGGCATGTTAAATTATTAAATAATGGTTAGTCAAAAAACCATTAAATTAGAGTATCAGCTTTAAAGATTTGGAAAGACAACTATTTGCAAACAATGATCCAAACACACACTTAGTTTATAGACATTGAGTCACTGACTCCTATCAAAGATGGAAAAACAGACAAGTCTAGCACTTAAAGGCCCAAGTCTTAAAACTTGATTTTTTAAATTTTGAGACTCAACCCTTATTAAAAGGACTCAAGTTCGGGTCCAAAAGCCCGGTTTTTAAAAAATATAAAAAAAATCAACATTGTAATTTAATGTTCTTTTTTTAAAAATAATTTAATTCAACATCATAATATTTAACACAATAATTTAATTCTAAAATTTAATATAAACTAAATTAAGGTCTCACGTCATTTATAAAATAAATAAAAAATTTAAAAGTTTAAATAAATGTTAGCTGATGCCATCACAATTTATAACAATGTTCAAAAAATAAATGCACGAGGCATATCGATATAATCCTCATAAAATAAGATGGGAGATTAAAATTTTAAATTGAATTGAAATCTTAAAAGTAAATATTAAATTGAATCTCGAAACATCCATGACCTAACAAAGGTCTATGTCAGAAGAGGAATCACATGAGAGTAAGAGAGCCAAAAAGCTAGAGCAATATAACACCGAAAGGGAGACATCGAGTCAAGAGACAAGAGGAAGAGATGAGTCGAGAGATGGAGAGGGCTAGAGAGTGAGTAGACCAATGAGGGGAGAGGCGAAGGGACTAGAGGAAAGGAGAGGTCAAAAGGGAGAGGTTGAGCTAGGAGACAAAGAGAGCTAAAGAATTTGGAATTGTTAAATACTGAGAGTTTTTTCCCATTTGCCACACAGTGCATTCCAAGGTAGAAAAGAAAAAAAATAAAACAGGATTTGGAGGACCATCTGGGCCTAAGCTCATTTTTTAAAGCTTATCAAGGATAGGTCTTAAAGCCTGATTATCCTACAAATCACTTATTTTTTAAGTCTAAATTCTTATTTAAATAAGACTTTCAAACCCAATTTTTATTGCTGACTCTATTTCTATATTTATTATTTAACATAAATTTTTGCAATGATTTTTTCTTGAAAAAATTGCACCATTTAATATTTTAAAATGGCTAATATTTTTTAGAGAATAGATTAAAGATAAAGAGGCCCTTTAACCCATGCTATTATTTATTGATATATTGATTGATAGTGTGGCAGATATTCAAATATTTTTCAGAGTTGACGTCGGTGCATATCATCTTTTTTTAGTGTGTATTTGGTAAAAGTTAATTCAATGAAAGTTAGTTATTAAAATAAAATTTGTGTCTGAATATATATTTTTTAAAGTCAGTTTGATAAATTAAAAGTTATTTAGATTAATGATAATTTGTACTTTTAAATATACAATGACATTAAATTATGATGATTTATAATTTTTTATACAAATATAATATACTATAAATGTTTAAAATAACACAAAATTTAATATGTTATGTAATTAAAATAAAAAATATAAAGTTTAATATGCTGAAAAAATTATGTAATAAATAGTTCAATATTTATTAATGTTCAACCTTCATTACTAGATAAGGAAGCACCGACGGCAAGGAGAGAGAGACAGGAGAAGTTCGGTTGGAGGAATCGTAGATGGCACTGAGAAGAATAGAGACCAAAGAGAATTCGATGATTGTAGTGCAAAGAAAAAAAAATATTAAAGGTAACATGGTCAATTAAAAAAGTAGGTAAAAATTTGTTCTCCTCGTTAAATTTTCAACTCAAACTTAACATTTTAAAATCTAATTCAAAGTAGAGTTTCAAAATTCACTTTTAAATTTCATTTCAATTTACATTTTAAAAGTCATTTCAGCCAATTAAAAATTTTTCAACCAGTTTTTAATATTTGAAAAGTTCAAAAGTACTTTTAAGATGCCAAAAGTTGTTTAACCATATTTACTTTTAATTTCATGCTAACATCTACCTTAAGACGTACATAAGCATCGCAAAATTAACGGATCTGAGTGTGAGGTTTGATTAATTAAGAATATTAATTTTATTGTTTCTTGCAAGGAAAGGATGGCTTTTACCTTTTAGCATTATAAAAGCTCGATCTCCCTTGTGACTTTGTCAATACAAAATATTTGATGAACCTCCAAAATGCTGCCAGCACAGAACTTTGATTGATGACGGATGGACTTTATTTTCCCAAGTAGTGAATCGCATTTGCCGGTAGAATTTTATTTTATTTTTTGGCCAAAATTTGCCGGTCGAACTAACATGCACAAATATATGTAGGCAGAGACAAAGGAATGCGCCACGCACATACATGCACGCATGTGTGTGTGTGTGTGTGTGTAATGAACTAATTAAAAAAAGAAGATGAAAGAAATAAAGAGGCATGGGGGTCAGTACTCAGTGGGATGTCGGTAGATGAAGGAGCAAACTAGCGATGGGATCGTTATCGGGAAGAAGCATCTTAGAGTTGAGCAGAGTGAAGAGCGTGAGAACAAAGGATACCAACACCGAGAGAGCCGACAGAATCAGCGTCAGCGAGTTTGCGATCCCTCCCTTCACTTCATCTGCATATTCCGTCGCCGCAATCGCCAGCACCGTCACCGGAAACGAATATGCCCACCATGCCACGTTGAATCTTCTCATTGACCTCCTGAACAGCATTGGCCTGCATATCTGTTCGACACGCCAACATCCATCTTCTTCATTCGCTATTCATTTTTTTCCAATTATTATTATATTTGACAATCGACCATGACGTAAAAGGGGTCTACAACATTAGTAAACTAATGAAAGCACACTGAAAAATGGTCATGCATCTACATGGGCCTGCATAGTAACTGAAATTTAATGATCCTCACCTGCTCTTCATTCTTTATCAAACTTTCGTCAAGGACCAAAAAATAATTACATTGATTCAAAATTAGCTATAATTATTTCTTTGAATATCTTTACATAAAATGAATTCATTGAATCAAATAATTTCGGGTCCAAAAAAATCAAATGTTTTAATTATAAAGATTATATTTAAGGGCAAGTTTTGCAGGCATCCATATAAAGTACAAGCAGGTGAGAAAAATATGTGTGAAATTTTCACAAAAACACACAGTACTGGAGATCGGCCGTATAACCACTGCCCGGAAGGATCCTTCTCTAGGCCTTTGTCAAGTCTCCCTTTATCTCAACGTGAAGCAGATTTAGGACACCGGATGTGTAAACAACTAAAAAGTACAGGTGAGGAAGTCATTGCACTCCAGGGAAACTTCCAGAACATAAACTGAAACTAAAACATGTGTGGGTCTGTGTGGTCATAAATATAATGAATGGTGCTGCTTTTTATGTGTTTCATATGTTCATATTATGTATAAATATAGGTATTCAGGGGGGAATGATAAAAGAGATAAAAATATGCCTTCGAACGAATATAATTACCAGTGACGTGAAGAGGAACAGGGATAGAAAGAAGAGCATCTTGGAAGCAGTATCAAAGCCGCCAACAATGGATTCCCAGGCCAAGCTCGCGACGCCTGGAGCAGCAAAGAACAAGAAGAAAACCGGCCTTAACAGCACGGGAAGCCGATCTCCACCGGAGAGGCGCTGATAAAGCGTCACAAATAGCACCAAGTAATGAACCATGCCCAGCGAAAACAAGCAAACCGCACTCTCTCTCCACCCCATGTGAGCCGCGGCTCGTGCCCCAACCAAGTTCCCTATCACCGATAGCTGGCTCGTAGGGTTCGCCACGGTGGACAGAAACCTCTTCCCCTTGGTGAACCATTGACCGTAGATTTTCACGTCAAGCAGCACCACCGGCACCGAAAAGACCCACCACAGAACTAAGTACGCACGGGTCTTCGGAGCCACGCACGGAGCCGACTGAAGCAATAGAAGCCAAGAGATCCAGGGAGCGAAGAGATAGTTAACCCCTACATGGTGCAAGAACTCTGCCTTTACCATCTCAAAGTAAAACAAGCACCTCAACAGGTAAAGAATAGAGAGTAGGACGAGTACAAAGAGTGAGAGAGACCACAGTACGAGAAAAGCGGTGGGATGGAACATGTTGCGCACGTGCCCTAGTATGCCTGTGTCATGATCTGCTGCTTCTGCAAATATCTTCCATAGCAGAGCTTGGCCACCAAGGGAGAGGCTTATCCTGAAATAACCTGCATGAAGTTTGGTTAGGATGGAATTTAGGGACATTATTAACGAGCGCTTAGCGATTATCATCACGAGGGAAGAATCGTGACTATGAGTATCGTTATCATTGGGGCTAGTATTGGTCACCACGGCGGGGGCGGGGGCGGTGGCGGAGGTGGGGTTTATCACAAGCTCGATCTCACATGAGGCCATTGGTGCTGGCTGGGGGTAGATTATATCAGACTCACATACGAGAGAGTTTATTAGCGCGCTTTTCCCTGTCCATATGCTGGGATTTTATAGGGCAGGGTAAGAGGGGGATCGAGGCAAGGGGGCGTATTATAAAAAAAAAAAAAAAAACCAGTTGACCAGTTTTTAAAGGAAGAAAATACTTGTTTTTTTGGGTAGGCTTTGTATGCTGTACAGGGAGGGGATTACGTACGATGTCCTCGTCGCTAGTATAATCCACGATGATTCATGCATTTGTTGTAAATATTAATTCAAACATCGTTTTCTTGGGTACAGTCATCTGCGCACACCAGTACGTTAGGGACTGCTCAGGCTAGCTAAGGCTGCTTTTGCCAATACTTCAAGAATCATTATAACATTTATGCAGGTGAAACATCGGAGTTATGTCGAGGGATATCAGGATTTCGGTTCTATAAGACAACATAGAACATACACCAGCATTTTGCAATGAACACGGGACAGCAGCTGAAGTCTGGGGCAGTGGGGATCATCTTCAGCATTTACTCAGACTAAAAGTGGGCCAAAGTTTGGGCCACAACAACGGCCCAGAAATTCGACCGGGCCTGCTTGTCCTTTTGGAGCTGAGCTTATATATGTTCTCATGATTTATCCGCGGCCTGCAAGTAATTACTTCCTCCGTCTTTATATATAAAATATTTTTAATTAAATTTTACATATCTATAAAAATTTATCATTTAGTTAAATTTACATAAAAATACAATAATTTTTTAATTTTATTCCTAATAATATCATAATTAATATTACGATAGTAGTAGAGAAAACATGCAATTAATGATCTATTTTATTTTTTAAGATAAAAATAAAATTGTTTAATTATTCAAAAATATTATTGTCATTTTTTTATTTAAGAACAAATTAAACTTATAAAAAATACCTTATATATAGTGATGGGAGAGTAACTAATTATTGTGCATGCGCATACCATGTGAAGGTGAAAATTAAACGTGTGTTACTATCCAATTCCGGGTTTTTGTTTTTAATCTTTTCCTTTCTTTGGGTTACTGTGCCTTGAACCTTAACCTTTCTTTCTTTTCTTGTCTTTTAGTGAATTATGATTCCAGCATCAAAAAAGATAATTACGCTGAAACATCAGATATAATGATTAATTAATTGTAAATGCATAATAAGGCTTTGATTTAGCATATGTCAATGGGAAACATTAATAAACAGTATCAATGACTTGAGAAATAAAATATTTATAACAATTGTGAATTTTGTAGATTGACCACTCGTGTTAAAGTTCCCTGCTCGGAATGTATGATAGAGGATGGTGGAAAAGGATACGACTAGCTACGAGATATATCGGAGACAATCTGATGATGGGCTAAGAAGAAACGAGAGGAAAGGATTCAAGCCAGTGTTGTTGTATAAGGTTGAAACCCTTTGAAAACGTATTCATCGTGATTCGTTTTCCCTTTAAGGAAAGGACAGGCATAAAACTCGTGCCAACGAGGTTTCCGCATCTGTGAATGTCCCTGCTCAGGCATGGTATTGGTTGGAGAATTGTGTTAATAATTAAATAGATAATGGAATTATTTTATTTGAAACAAAAGAAGAGTAAAAAGGAGGGGGAAGGGGATATGAAGTCCTTCCTGTCTTATGGGTTATGATGGCAGTTGAAAGAAGAGAGCATTGCTTCCCTATAAATAAAAAGAAGGAAGGAGGCCAATTTCATTGGTGAACAAGGAATTGTTTGCTGGCACGAGACATGATGACAAGTAGACGGCTGAGGGCAAATTGTGGAGTTCAAGAGGGACCTATCGGGGAAACCCGAAATCGGGTCTACGACACTCTAGTCTAAATTCTGAGGAGCCATCCCATCATTATTTGAGTCACATGCCGGCCCAACTGAACCATACACTTCTACATTTTTCACATCTGGAGTGTCCAGTTCATTGTATTGGCTATTTTCAGACGCTAGTACACCAAATTTCTTCTTTTTTGTTTTAATTTCTCATTCTCTGTTCTTTTTTTTTTTTTCAAATGCCAAACATTGGTCGCTAGGTTCCTTTGGTTCTCCCAGGGGACAGAGGCAGGAGCAGGAGTATTAAAAGAGGAGTGAAAGTATAATAATTAATAGAGGGGGAAATGGAAATGCCCGGGAAAAACAAGAGGAGGGGAAAAAGATAGGAGAGGAATGAACTGAAGTTTTTTTTTTTAAATCTTTTTTCCTTTTCCATGGAGGAGTTAAAATTTGAAACCCCAGCAATATTAAAGAGGAAATGGAATGAGAAAGGAGGGAAGGAGGAAGCGCAGGGCTCGAGAGACAGGGGGACGGGGGAAGCATTGATTGGATTCAGCGACCTTAATAATTGCACTCAGTGTGCATGAAATGTAGACCACTTTGACCATACAAAACACAAAGGACTCTTCCAAGTGCGAAGAAATGACCCGCAACGGATTTGAATAATGCAGGCAGCTGTTAAAACAGGGAGGAAATTTTGGGGAAAAGTAGAAACGTGGTCTCAATTCTCACTTGAATTAAGGGGCACCTTCTCTCTCACTGTGGGGGCGCGGGCGAAGGAAAAGTGAACAAGAGAAACACATTAAGAAAATCCAGGGGCATGAAAAAATAACTATATAAACGGATAAATTACACGAGAGACAGGCTATGTGTCAAGTAATCAAGTTGTTGATTTTTTTTTTGTTTTTTGTTTTTTGTTTTTGCTGCCAAGAGTTGTTGATTCAAGTTTAAATGTTAAATTAAAAAATTTGTGTGTCATTTCTCTTTGTGAGGCCAGGAATTCACGTGTTAATTTCGAGACGTTTAATTTACAATTTTAAAATACAGTACAAAAATTGAACATTGTATGGATATAAATTTTGAGAATTAAGAGGATATTTATAAACTCTAAAACCAGCATATATACCTGTGAATAAAAAAAGCACGTGTTACCTTACAAGTCATATCTGAAAATAAAGACTCGAGTGCACGTCTCCACGCCAATAAAATTTTGAGAAGTATGCAAGACACACTGTACATAAGCGTCGTTACTCATTAAAGAGCACTCAAAGAATGAATTTCAGCGGCGGCACTCAAGAGAGCATCTCAATAGATAAGCCATCCATCAAGCGGACGTGGTCAGTTTTACCTAGTTGCGGATATACGTACAAGTCCTCAAGTTACACGACTAGTGTATTTAAATTTTTAGGTCCCGAGCTAGGAGAAAAACCGGTGCTAGGAAGGAGCAGCACCAACTCGAGGGCCCGTTCTACGTAGATTTACATCACCCACAGCATCCGCCAGTGTTAGTGTAGTCCTGAGGAAGGAAATGGACAATGATGGCTCATTAAAATAAGCTATGTTGTTGGGCCAGCCCAAACCGACCACGGCATTGGTCTAAACCTCAATCATGACCTATGACCCGATTGGGAGAAGAGGGAAGGAGGACACCGCTAGAAATTTGAAAACTGGGGAGGCAAGGTCACATCCCCTCAATTCCCATACCACTCCACTGCTACAATGAACCATGGAACATGGATCACCCACCAGATTCAAGACGCAAGCGTAGCAGTATCACAATTCATCATTGAACTCAAAACCTCGACTCCAGTGGCCGATCAGCCATGAGTAATGACACGCACTTTATCGCCGTGTTCATGATTCGGTTTAATTGAGACGTGCTCATTAAATTCATCAAGTCCAACCGAACCTGTTGTTTGCTTTCCGGATACATTTGACTGTAAAAGTCCAAAAAGGGCCGTTTGACCAGCTTCGAGGACTCGGACATGACTGCATAAGGAGGGGAGGCACCGATCGCGACGATTGAGCGCATCATTGTTTCCATCTCGGCCACTAATTGGCCCAATCATTATACATGTATATATTATGTTCAAAAAATTACAATAATATACTGTATAAAGAAGTCAATGATGGTTGAAAGAAAAGAAAAGGTTAATCAGTGGCATGCTGGAGGGTCCAACGGCAGGGGGAGGAAGATTTGTTTTCTCGGGCCCCTAATTACAAATTAATAATAATAATGAAAGGAGATTATTGGGGTAGAGGCGGATAGCGAAGGACAGCGTACGGGCAGTGAGCAGCGCAGCAGCTTAGGTGGTGTTCTTTCCAGTTTTATATAATAGAGAGCCAATTATTAGCGGTGGTTCTTAATTAGATAGGCCTGGGGCTGGTTCACGTGATGCACCCATCTCACTATTTCATGGATTCCTTAACACACAACAATCCCACTCTAATACTCGTTTTTTCTGTGCCTCTCGCTTTCTACCTTGACAGCTAGCTCCGAGGTGTTTACTCCTTTTTCTAAATTGACCACTTCCCAACTTCTCTTCCCCGTCATCCTACTTCTCTCTGCCTCCCACTGTACGTTACGTTCCAACCGTTTACTTCTAGAAATTCGGCGTTCGCCCCCTCATAATCTCCCTTCTTCTCCTTCTTTTTCTTTTTGACCTGGGATTCCTCATAATCAGAAGCTAAAACTTAATTTGTCCTTTTTTATTTATTTATTTATAAAATACAACTTTGTCTTTGATCACCGTCACTGTGCCACCACACCACCCTTCAGCGTAATGGGTCCAGGTCCAGTCCACCGTTTCCTTCCATACGCTAATATAATCAATTTCAATTCAAATGGAAAGTCATGCATGCATGTGCTGCTTTAATTCATTTTCTTCACATTTCATCTCATAGCTACTATTCGTGTTTAATATTTTCAATAATTTCATGTCGAGACGCGGAATTAGGACTCATTGCGCGGGTTCTTTTTCTCCAATTTCATGATTGTGAGGGCATATTTATATCGGTGATTGCTGCGTTTGCTATGTATTTATAGACACAAAGTCCTATGAACAAATTATGCTTGATGCGGTTCCGTGATTAAAAAAAAAAACGACTTCAATTACTAGCCACTTCATTCCAACTTTTATGCATATATTACTCGTGTTGCCCCTCATATCTCACCATCTATGCATAGACGTTGACATGCCGGAGGTTTTTCATCAACAAAGCTTGTGTATTGGAAATCGAATGAAATTCCATGAATTTTCATAATCTCCCCCCCCCCAAAGTTTTAGATGTAAATGTATAACTGTAGCCAATTTTTACGATGATAAACACAACAGATTTAACTTAATTAATTAACAAGCTATCACGAGTGGCTCAAATAAAATTAAAATCATTTGTGAGTTCATACTACGATTAATTCGTTTTCAAACGAGCAAAAAAAAAAAAAACGGAGTTGCCAAATCGAATAATTTCATCATGTAGAGGGTAACACGCGAGTTATTACAGGTGATTTATGGGGCTTGACGCCCTGATCACCTTGATAATTGTTTCAGAGACGCTTTTCCGTATGTGAGTGAGGAGAAATCATGAAGGGAGCAACTACGAGGTAATGTTATGCGAACCGTTCAATATGGTAATCATCGTGATTGAAAGCAATAATCACATATCTGTGGAGGGTTTTATGATGCATGTTGCATAATGTAGGGTCTAAAATTGAAGTGATTTTTAATAATATGCCTCAGGCACGGGGCAGGGTAGAATCTTTGAAAAACACAGAAACTTTGACATCGATAATCTCGATTAAAACGCCAAGATACAAAAAATGAAAAAAAAAGAGAGAAAAATCTTATTCCCCACACACACTCACACGATAGTCCAACTATTCTCAAATCCACGTAGTCCTTTTAATTAAGTCAACAAATGCTTAAATATATGAAGTAAACGAATGAAGGGCCGTGTATCACATAGGCGATGACACCGCCAGAAGGGGGGGGGGCTACTATTTCCAGCCTTGTGTGAAGTGAAAGAAAGCCGAATTCGACGTATAGGTGTTGACCTGGTCGAGAAGCTGATTTTCTAAATCGTAAAATAAATGGAGCAATAAAGAAAGTGTTTATGTGAAATTGAGAGTCAATCGTATAATGATTACTGAAAGAATTTTGAGGGGAATACGAGGCATGAGACGAGGAAATAGGAATAGAAAAGTAAACCCAGGAATGCAGGGCACTGGGTCAGGTAAAAATACACTAGGCCCGAGATTAACCCATACAGATGAAGGAACGATTTGGTTTTTCCAAATAATAGTAAAAAAAGGAAGCAACGAGGGGCAAGTAAAATGACCTCAGTTATAATGGCAATGACGCGTGGGAGCCGTCCGATGAGGAGGAGTCATGATGAAAAGCAAGATTTGAGCGGCGATGGAGAGGCCCGTGAGAGAATGCGCAACGCGGGTGCATGTGAGCGACGCACATTGGTTTTTCCACTCTGGGTAGATTGCTTCATAGACGTTAAAAATCAAAAGAATACAATCTTAATTATAGGGACGGTCAGAGAAAGTACTAGCGGGTTTTCCGGTGTAAGGACGAATAAGGAAAAGCTCTAGTCCTGACACGTGGATCAACGGCATCCGTCAGATGGTCAAAACTCGACTGGAATTCACTCATCCGGCTGAGATTCAATTGAACTGAAAGACCACTGTAGTGAAGTGGCCTGTGATAGATTTTCATGTTCCCCCACGCAGACTCTCTCCCTCCATACTCTCTCTCTCTCTCTCACTCACACTCATAATCATGCCATATTGCCATCCTTAACACATTCTGTCCACAGTCTGAGACACAATAAACCACCACACCGCAGCAGCAACAAAACCCAGTGTGGCGCGGACTATCTATGTTTGAGTGATTGATTACAGAGAAGGGGCGGGGGGAGAGAGAGAGAGAGATGACGGCGTGGTGACCATAAATGAGAGTTCGTAATTTGTATAGTAGAGTCGATGGGTGCAGTTCCCATGGCGGCGTAGCAGAGGCTCTAATTCCGTGCTATAATTGCTTCCAACAGCGAACAGAATTGGGCAGCATGAATACCACCTTCCCTTCCCTATTCTCCGTCCTTTTTATCCTTAATTTTCTTTAATTCTGTCTTTTGAACTGCAGTTTCCCTTCAAAAGCTGCAAAATCCCAACCACGACCAGAACCAGAAGATCATACTTGAGACTTGAGACGCCCCCACCACAACCCCTAAACAGTCAGCAGCGGGAAAAAAAAACAGCAAAAGGATCCGGGTCAAATATTAAACCAAACCAACCACAGATCAACCCATTTCCTCCCTCCCGATCCAAAATTTACAGCTGTACTCTGATCTTTGAAAATTATTTTTAAGATTCGGGGAAACTTTCTCTGCTATGGATTGTATGCCTCAATTAGACACTGTTTCAGCTTGTGGGTGCAACAAATGGCTGGGTTCTTCTCTCTAGGCCCACAGAACAAACAAGAAGAAGAAAAAGAAGATAACAACAACAGTAACAGCCTATTCTTGTTCAGGAACGAGGAGATCTACAACAAAGGATTCGAGATATGGCCGCAGTCTTATCATCAGCCGCATCACAACTTGAACAACTACTACTCGTTCGGGGCGGGTCCTAGTCGCAGAAACTCCTCAAACGACGACGTCGTCTCTGACGACTCTACGAGGTTCGGATTCACGGTCATGAGGTCTGGAGGTCTAGGAGGTGGCATGAACTGTCAAGATTGCGGGAACCAGGCTAAGAAGGACTGTGCACATCTCAGATGCAGGACTTGCTGTAAGAGCCGAGGGTTTCAGTGCCACACCCACGTCAAGAGCACTTGGGTTCCCGCAGCTAAACGCCGTGAACGACAGCAACAACTCGCTGCGTTGCAGCAGCAGCAGCAGCAAGACCAACAATTTAGAGGAGATAATTCGAAACGACACAGAGAAAATCAAGCTTCCGGCTCTCTTGCCTGCGCTCCATTAATGCCAATTGCCACAACAGGTGAAATTTGTCATGTAGAATAAAAAAGAGGGATAGAAGGAATAAAACAACTATTAGAAAGAAAATATTGGGTGCGGGATTTTTGTTTGAATTCAAGGCTTATGAAATGATATAGCCGAGGAAAAATGCCCCGAGATCTTGAAAAACAAGTCTTCTATCACTATACACCTAACTGATGCCATATTGCCATATCATTTCAGTGTGAAAACTAGATTCCACTCCATAGTCACCGTCTTTCTTTCTCTTTCCTCTTTTCTTTTCCATCACTGTTTTAAGTAAAATTGACAAAAATTCCTTGTAATCCTTTAGACTTTCAACTTGTTTGTTTGGCTATCACTCTTGTTAAGAGACAAACCATACCTCTCAAACAAGTGAAGAATGGAGAGGAATTCTATATATCTAGTTTCTTTTGCTTTACCATGATCTTCTTGTGTTGATTTGTATTATCTAGGGTTGGAACTGGGACAATTCCCACAGGAGGTGAACTCTTCGGCTGTGTTTCGCTGCGTGAGAGTAAGCGCAATGGACAGTCCAGAGGACCAGTACGCGTATCAAACGGCTGTGAACATCGGAGGTCACCTTTTCAAGGGAATTCTGTATGACCAAGGCCCTGAAGGTGCTTACACCACCGGTGGCGAGAGCTCCTCCGGTGGAGCTGAAGCTCAACAATTAAATCTCATAACCGCGTCGACCCCCACGAATGCGGCAACAACCAGCAGCGCTAACCCATTTGATCCATCTTCACTATACCCGGCTCCGCTCAATGCCTTCATGGCTGGTACGCAATTCTTCCCACCCCCGAGGTCCTAAACACGTGACTCTCCTATCTCCGGGAACTCACAATGAAGTGTTGCTTTGGTTAGTGAAACAATTCCTCTCTTGTCATCAACTCTTGGAACTTTTTTATTGACTATACTCGTGTCTTTAACAACACCTGGAGTAACTAGCTAGAAGGAGGAGTTAGGGATTTTAAAAATGATTATGGAAATGATTCAGAATGCATGAAATGGGGGATGTTTTGTTTCGTCCGAATGTCGCGATTTAAGATTTCAATTATTTGCAATGTTTTGATATTATCGATGGCATACTTTTAAATTCTAGAGTATTTGGATTCGTCGTGGATTTTCTTGGCGTTATTTGGGTATTCGTGCGTTATGTTATGCAGCTGATTTGATTTCTTCATGTGCAGTATTTTTCTTTTTCGGGTTTTTTATCGAGTAAGCTTTCTGGTTGGTGCTGAACTCGAAGCCGCTTTTCCCGTTTATCCGTTTGCTTGCCGGATCGATATAGGTTTCGTGTTTGGCTAAGCTAGCAATAGAATTTCAATTGAAACCCTATATATTTATAATATTTTCGTAAGAGAGTTTGTGTGTGTGGAATGCACACACTCTTTTTGCACGATTTCTGGGGAGAAAGGTCACGGCACTGCCCATCTTTTCTTTGTCTCTCATGCATCGGTAAAAATTAAATGGCAAACTGGGCGTCTCAGTCTAGTACCAAAAGTGAGATTGCTGGACGCAAATGCTCAGTTTCCATACCTTTTTTTCTCCTTCGAAATCTGTATAATTAATTGTATTACGTATAAATGGGGAATTACAACAAGCATTTACACCAACTACTTGTCTGAGAAACAATAAAATTTAGCCACTTGAATAGACATCCATGGATGTGACTCCCATATGCTAGAGTTGGAAAATGGGTTCTTCTTTAGCCGATAATGTTTAATGCTTCTGAAAGTATGTGCATGCGATGCATGTATATATGCATACAAGTGTCGACTGCCACCAATGATATAGGGGAGGGTACAACATATGATATGATAGGGTAAATGATATTTTTATAGTTTGCTGGTTTTGGTTCATAAGGAAGAATCAGAAACTTTACGAAAAATTTCCTAGTTCTGTATAATTACTGGCCCATAACATGTGCTGCACTACCTCCAGCTGATTGAGATGCAGCAGTCTCTTTCGCTTGCATCTATAATTTTGTTCCTTCGTATTTATATAAACCCTTTTTAATTTGTATACTAGTTTCTTCCCCTTCTGATTCCTCTACCATCCCTTGATAATCTCAGCAAGCTTTTGTGGTTATGTAGCATTATATATTACAGAAAGATTCACTGCCCCTCCCTTTTCGCTTCCCACTCCCTCCCCCGTATCTAACTGTTCAGATAATAAAAATCTTGTTCCGCTAATTAGATTTCTTCATAAACCATTAAAGATTGAGGATTAAAAGTAAAACGGATTATCTGATGGGAGGAAAATCAAGGGAATCAAGAAAGAGTTTATCGATATATAACTTTATTAATTATTCAAGTCAAAAGATTCATCTGTTGGTCACGTCCATAGAAAGATCAGAAAGAGAATAGAACCAAAAATAAAAAAGTTAGTTAATTGTATGAAACTGTGCTTCAATTATTTTCAACATACAGAGCGTCGGTATTTCTTCAAACTATAATGGTCAGAAGCATCGTAAAATCGCTCAAGCTTAGGAATTAGTCTCACAAAGGCAGTGCACACATGCACAAATACAGTAAGGTGAAAAGAAGTTGCATTAATTATTTACCCAAAAAGTGAGAATGGCCTTCTAGGCTGAAAGACGTAGCCAGCGAAAAAAACCAAAAGATCTGGAATATAGTCCATTATTGTCTATATTCGGATTCTTTCTTGCTCTTTTCTTTTTAATTTATTTGATTTAATTTATTTATTTTAAAAGAAGAGGAGTCTGGGCTTTTCATTGATTGAAACACCACGATTATAGAGGGGATAGAGAATATTCTGTCGCGCGTTTAACTTTAGCCTATATGTGCAAAAGAGCGTGTGCGTGCGGATGCATTTATAATTCCATGTACTCACTCCAGTTATAAATCCTAGTTAAAGAATTTATTTTGGTTCTAAGTATGACTTTAATTTTATTTATCGCCATCCTTTAATATTTTTTTAAGTTAAAATATACTTTTGATCTTTTAATTTTATATGAGATGTTAATTTAATTCTTTAAAACCCTAACATCATTCGTTTTGAATTATTATTGTTTGGGACAATCATTGTTTTTTTTAAAAAATTAAATTAAATATGTCAAATGTTTTGTTAATATTTGAAAAATTTAATGTAAAAAATTTTGTAATGAAACTAATAATATTAGGATTAAAGATTTAAAAATATATTTTATAAAATAAAACTCTGTCTAATATAAAAGAATCAAAGGTATATTTTTACCTATTTTTCTATGTTACCTCGTTAATTTCACCATTTTTTCCCACTCATTTTGCAATCCACATTTAATATCCTTATTAAAAATGAGTACCTTAGAAAAAAATAGGACAAATAATCAAATTAACCAAGTTTCTTAATGCAAGTTTAGTTAAGTAGGTCTTATATTTAAAATCAAAGGATGTATATGATCTAGTCTAAAAAACTGAGAGCTCTGGAGTAAATTCATATTGAAATATACATAAAATATAATAAGAATGCTGCACATGCCTATTATGAGTCCTACATTGAGAAGCTTTATAGGTGTTGTAGGATTTACAAGTTTAAAGGACTTTTTCTTCTAACAGACTAGCTTTTGAGAATAGGCTCTTCCTTTAAGTTTGTACTCATTACCTTGGTCTTTTCATTGAGAGGTTGGTGTCACGGAAAAGGCTATCCATAAAAGTTCTGATAGATAGAAAAGCGAGTGAAGTGTCATGTAGTGAAATCGTTGGAGAAGTCGACTCTTGACGAGGTGGCATTACTATGAGTCTTATATCGAGGAACCTCATAAGTCATAAGTGATATAGGGTTTAAAGAGCTTTTCCTCTTAATAGATTAATCTTTTAAGATAAGCTAGCTTTGAGTTTGTACTTGTTACAATGTCCAAGAAAATTTGAGTGAAAATTGCTCGTTATTCGGTAAGAAGCCTTCAGTCGAGTTGCAGTTGGACGAGTACTCGTAGAACCATCAATAAGTATCAGCTGTTAAAGACGGCAGATCGATGCAAACGACTGTGACGGAATCATTGGGAAAATTACGGTGGATTGGCTTTCACAAAATTTGTGTTCAGTGCCCCTCAAAGGAAAACATAATTTAACATCCTGAATATAGTATATTGTAAGATATATGCAACAAAAAATTGGTAAAGTACTCTGGATCGGATTTGAATATTTCGAGCACTGGGACTAAATTAAGCATCCTTCTTGTACGCACAGACAATCATACATTTAAGTCGGGCGATAATAAACGGAAGCATGCAGATCAACGATCGATAGTGTATTTGTGTTGTCAATAAGAAGTTTTTACCTGTTAAAACGTTATCAACACAGAGCATGTGTCTGTTGAATTCGTGAACTTGGAATTGCTTGTTATAATTGGCGCTGCAAGGTAACGAAGAAAACGAATTCTTGTTTGATTATATTTCTTTAAGCGATTTTAACTTTAATGTGGAGCACGGGTTTCCTCGAAGTAAGCAATACCCCAAGAGGAAGGGAATTGGACCAAACTCGAAAGATGGCTCAATTTGACATGGGTTTAGATTTGTCTTTTCCCGCAAGTTCCAACGAGAGAATCATGCACGTTTTCAAACCATTTCATGTAGGCTATAGGTAAAAAGATTGTTTGATACGGCCATGCTGTCTTCGAGTTGGGGTCAACTAAATGAACTAATTAATATTCGGTCCCTATGTTCAACCATAGTCAGCATGAAATTGACTTCTTTCATGCCAAATTAAATGCATTTGCGAATATGGACATTTGACAGTTCGTGAATGACAGCAAGCAAATTTTTATATGGATATGAATAAAAACAAACAGCCAAGCTGCACAGATTTTAGCCAGAAAGAACGAAAAGAAACAAAAACCGTTCAAGTTTTGACCAAAATAGTAGTAGAATGAACGGCGATTTTTGCATTTAGAAATTATTTGATATCGTGTCATATTGAGTAGTCACGAAAATATTGCAGGTGAGCTTTATCATCAACTAAAAAAAAAAAGAAGAAGAATTATATTTAGATCCTATAAAAAAATTAATTATTATAAAAATTTATTGACAATTAAATTAAAGAGATTAATAATATAATTAGTTGTCAATCTCTTTAGTTCAATTGTTGCTGAATCTTATAGTAATTAAATTATTTTTGTGAGATTTTAATATAATTTTTTAAAAAAAGTACGTATGGTTAATATTGATAATATAATCAATTATCAATCTCCTTAATTCAATTATCACTGAACCTTATAATAATTAATTTTTGTATGTGAAACTTTAATATAATTTAAAAAAAAGGACGTGCGGGTGAAAAATCACTAATTTAGTGACTTGTTATCAAAATATTATATATGTATAATTAATTAATATATTTAAACGATGTATCTCTGTTTACATCTGTGGAACCCATATATGTACAATTCTAGTGATCGGAGAAATAGTGCATGTGGTTTCACGGACTCATTTGACGTTGATCCCGTCCATGACACAAGGTTGACAAGGGGCGGTCGCATCCTTGAATGTGTTGTTTTTGAATTGGTGAATCCAAATCACGGGATATTTTATAAAAAAGAAAGAAATTGACACTTTTGCAGGAAGATATATCAGGTAGGGTTTGTTATGATAAGATGGTCACGGCCTTAGGGTTCGTGACTTTGGGCAAAGGAAAAGCAGCATGCCCCGTGTGTGCAGGTGTAGGTGATGGGCCTCTGCTCAGCTAATTAAACGGTGCTCCAAACTAAATATATTAGCTACGGTCATGCCAAAGCTGCTCCTGCACCCTGCTAGTGTTCATATGTCATACGCCTTGCTCTTCTGACTTGCGATTCTTAATGTTTCAGAAGCTTTGCAACGTTAGCTTTATACACGTACGCATATTTTCTGAAAATTAGTATATTGTTAGGGTTTTAAAATCTAGAACATAACTTACAAATAATATGCCAACTTAATTTGTACGTTAAGGGGGGATCGCCACATGACAGCCATAAAAAAATCAAATCGAATCTTTTAATTTGCATGTCTTTTTTCAAAATAAAAAAAGTAGAGATTCACAAGGGCATGCTTTAGAGAAAAGTCACCCTCGGCAATAAAATGATATTTTATGGCACGATTTCAAAGAAATTAATGGATCCTTATCGGTGCAAAACTAGTGATATATCATATATGCAAGCTCCTGCGGAGAACATGGAGCTTTTTATTTATGGATCGGATGGAATGCACTAGAACGAGCAGCAAATTTAGGGGTGTGACATAAATGTCTGAAAATGAAAGACAATGGAATTTGCATTTTTATGCACGCCGATTTGAGCTGTGACAATAACAATAACGTATAAATTGTACAGTGCACCATAAAGAAGGCACAGCCTCGGACTGAGACATTTCCTGACTTTCATTGACCCTCGGACAGTGTGAATAAGACAATTAACTATGTTCATCCAAACAATCCGGGAATTCACACACTTGCCGTCGTACCGAACCCTTGGTCTTGTGATGTGCAATTTCTATGCTATTGGGATGGACCCCTTTTGTTTGCGAAATTTCGGACTGGAGCCTGTTACCGGATTTAGAACCACCTACGCTGCTCTTGGGCCAGCCCTTATTTTCATTGTTGGCCAAGGAAGG